AGGAGGAGGACGCTGGTGGAGGAAGAAGAGGGTTGCACTCCGCGGAAGAGCATCCGCGTGCCCTTCCGTTGTTAAATTAACGACCGGGTACCATGGCTGCTAAAATTAACGCGTGGTACTCGCGTGGACCAAGGTAGCGGGATATCCGAGAAGATCGATGCCCGTCTGGTAGCCCCGGGTGTAAAATTCAAAACTCACCGGGACAAATAACTCGCTGGTTCGGATGAATCACGGCCGGTGTGTATTTTGACGTGGAAAAGTAAAGCGACGCCTCGTCTCGTCGTTTGTCTTCGTCGACGAATACATCTTCCACCCTTTCCACCGTCTTCGACTCGGCAAGACTGCGCGCCGTACCCTTCCGAACGTCGATTCTCTCCCTTCCGGCGTGTCACAGTCGGACACCATCTGGTATACTCTCCGAAGGATAAAATTTCTTCGCGAATTCGCGTGCTCGGTTGGAGAAGTCGGAGAGAATTCGTGGCTGGCATTGGATTCCCCAGGTGTTAGGTCGCGACGCGATTTCCAGCCACCGTTTCCGACTATCGCGATAATCGGCCGAGTTCGAGGAGCCCTACTCTGCGAGGGGCAGGAAACCACCACGAGAGGATCTCAGCCGTGCAATTCGGCTCGCCGAGTCTTCCACAGCGGAATACGAATAGTCCCGGCATTACTCGTCTAGTTCCTTACAAATCATCGTATTCGGCGGTTTCTTGTTCCCCGTGCGCGCTCCTTTGTGTACGGATCTTCGTATGTATATGTACGTAGGCGTAACACAGGCGAACGGCGTACGTAGCCGGTACATAGGGAGAGGAAAAGAGAGATACAAGTAGGTTGGGCTCGATAAGATTGCGGGGTAGCGAGCGAAGGGATTGGAGCCGTGATGGCTGCATTGTTTCTTGCCGACGTTGCTCCGCAGACTGGCTGCATCCTGGCTCTGTGGATTGTACTTTGCGTTTTCGTCGAGTCTCCAATAGGGCGATATCCAGCCCCGTCCCCTTTCTTTGCCGCGTCTTCTTCTTCTTTTCCCTCCTCCGCCTGCTGCCCCTCCTCTGTTTCCCACTCCCGGCCTCCCTTCTTTATCTTTTCCACCCCTTTCTCTCTGCGCCATCCCTCGAGCATCCCCGTCATTGACCGGCAAAAAAGCCACGGGGGTATCATAAAAGCGCGCCGCGAAGGAACTGCTCGCCTTATTCCTCGGATTTACGAAAGTTCAACATTTTTCCGGGCTGCCAGCCGGGGAGAGTCTTTAAAGTACTTAGAAGTAATACCGAGAACGTGTGCACCGTTCGCTAACCCGCGGGCCTTCTGCTTGTTCTTATTCCCGCAACCCATTTCGGACCATCTTCCACCTTCCATCCGGCGGTGTCCCGAATAAACGCCATAAATCTGCATTTACAATTTCCAACGCGAACGCGTTTATCACCGCGATAACCCCCCCCCCCCCCCCCCCCCCCCCCCCCCACCATTCGGGTAATTTCTTAGGTAGTTTACGGTGTCGCCGTGTTTCTTTGCCCCGAGAACATTCGGTCTCTTAACGTCAAACGAAATTGGGACGAAGATTTGATTTACAGGCAGACGGGTCTACGCGGAGTCGCGAGCTGCAGCATCTTCGTGCCGCCATGCTGCTTCCTACCTACCGCGTTCATAGGTGTCCTTTTATTTCCACTCGTTGCATGCCACGGAATCCGCGTTCCATGCACGCCGACCGATTCCCACCAACGAGTTTCATTTGTCGCTAGCTTTTATGACTCTCGCGCACCAGCAGCGTCCGGTCTCGTCGTAAATAAACCGACGCGTTGCAACTTTTTGGTAGCTCTTCTTTGCCACGCTGGATAAGCACGCCGTTGGCGTGAGTTACGCTTTGGATTTCGGCCGAGACTCGAAAGTACGACTCTTCCACGCCGGGTTCCGAGCTGGCTATCGAGCTTCGCGCAAAAACCGCGGCGTCGACGGAGACCGCGGCCCAATAAAAGAGAAGATGCTAAACTACCGGGGAAACTGTTCGACCGCGGAACTAATTCGACGCTCGGCTGAGCTTCGTCGGGTCCCGAACTTTCTTTCCCGGCAAAGTGCCCGCGGAATCGAAATAAACGCATCGCCACGCTCCGCGTCGATAATTGATCCGGAATATCGCGATACGGCCAACTCCCCGACGTGCCGATAAAACTTTGAAATTCGTCGGATCTCTATTGCAGGATTGCGCGAGAGACTGCTTCGCGGATGGGGTACCGTTCCGATCGGGACTCCCGAACGTAATCGCGAGTTTGGCAGTTGGGGTATAACTCGACGACGCGTTTTTCTCCGGTTATTCGATCGGTTGGAAAAGGGCTATCGAAGAAACGGGCTACCCTTCCCGACTTCTTCCTTCCATTAAATAACCACGAGCCCGGGCAAAGTACAGGCAAGGCCGAAGAAGAAGACAAACACGCGGAACCTCTCGTTCCATCGCGTACCGATTCTTCAGCGTCCCCGCGCACGCAAGGGGAAAAGCTAAACATCAGGGGGGCGAGCCGTAACGCGACGCGGAGTACGGATTAAACCGTGCTCGAAGGACGTCGCGAGCAAGAAGCGTTCTCGGGTTTCTTTCCACGGCGATTCCGTTTCCACGCGAATCATCCACTCGTCGCGATGGAAGGACATCGAGCCGGCGAAACGAGTCGGGACCCACGCTCGATCGCCGAGTCGGTCCATTAGGCCTTCGTGAGAAAAACACGGTGCATCTGGTTCAAGGAATGCCAGCCGTTTAATGGACAGCCGGCTTAAAAGGCTGCGCTTTCCTAAAATGGCGCCGTTCCGTGGCGCACCGTGGCGTTCCAACTTTAATGCGACGAGGACGGCAAGTAGCGGGTGAAAGCTTGCGAAAAATGCTAGGCTGGATAATGGCGGCGAGCGTAAAAAGAAGAACCGACAGGTGCCGCTATGGCGAGACACTGATGCGAGCCGACGCTCGCAAACTTGCGTTCTGCCTCGCAACGTTGCCTCCGCTCCGCGCGATCGATTAATTTCTCGTCGTCTTATCTTTATCGCGTCGAGACGCGTACCGTCACGGCGCGTTCTTGCACTCTGCGTGCACGGTGCACGCGGCCGCGTTAAGCACGGATTACGGCTAATGGCGAACGGTCGAGCCCGATTCTGGCCGACGGTTGTCCGTCGTGGCGCCTCGTCGACCTCTTTCCGTCTCACTGAAACTTTCCGTGCCGATCTCTCGAATAGCAATAGTCGTTCGGACGATCGTGGAGCGCAAAGTACCGCGTTTGAAAATTTTTTCCTCGCTCGCACTTGGCCAACAACGGGCTCCTGATTTCGCCGGCGCGCAACTAACGAACAATATGTTCATCTCGCATTCGATTCCGTGTCTTCTCCGTTCTAGCCGACGGAGCATCTCAGCTTGCACTTTGATCATTAGCCATCTATTGTTCCAGCCGCTCATCCACGTTCGACCCATTTTATGTCTTATGAATCAGCAGCTCTCCAGCCTCGGGATGAAGTGCGCCGACGAACCATCGTGTTCATAGCCAGATCGTTAACAAGGGTTGATTACGATCGCTCGGATAATGGCACGAGCACCGAACACCATGGCGTGAAAAGAACCCGGTGCTCGACCTCGCAGCGAGTTCTCGCGAAACTTCCACTTTTCCCGAGTCGAACCGTGGAGTTCCAGGAATTACGCAAAAATTCGCGTCGCGAGATTTTCGTCTTTGAAAAGTTCCGTCGTTGAAATTTCGTTCGGAGAGCTAGCAATTCCCGAGACGAGAGAGACCAAAGGAGACATCGGGTCCGAAAGTGCACGGAGACGAATATCGTTGACACGATCCGTCGCCTGGGTTTCGCTTCTAACGGGCAATCCTGACGAGGCAGAGTCGTTAAAACGTCGTTCGCGATGCATCCCGTACTCGGAAGATACCGTCGTTCCTTCTTGTCGAGGCACACCGATCCGGAAACGCGCGAAAGTCGCATCAACAACGGTGGATCCGGTTCTAATAAAAGGACAATCGGAACGACGAGTACAGGGGAGTGGAAACTCGATGGCGACGCGCGGAAGCTCGCAACGGTGTCCGCACGACAATGCACGTAATTAGGTTATAACCTATTTATGGGCGGGCAGAACCGGCAATGAATGCGCGTAAAAGCTGCCGACCATTCGGAATCAGCTCGTATTTTCAGCGATGTCGGTGCATTTTGTTTACGACTCGGAGCACTCCGCCCGGCGGAGAAACATCCGACGACCCGTGCCGGACGTTTCGGCCATTAGCATTTCGGGCACTCGTGATTTATTCATGAAGAAGCCAGAGTGGCCGCGAGCGCGTGCACGCGAGCTGCGGGCGGCTTGTCCGCTGCCGGCACCGGCAAACGCGCAACAATGCGTTATGATTTACCATGCAAAAGGCGCCGGCGTGAGATCGTTGCATAAACGCTCGTGTTTAAGTAGATGCGCGGGACGCTCGCTGGCTGCCCCTGAGAAACGCTTCCCGCCGTGCAATCGCTCGCGTACTACCTGGCAATCTCGACAGACAGCGCACAGCCTCTGTCACCGGAAGTCGAACGAATGCGTCGGTTTCAGCTTCGCGGGGATGGAATTGCTCGAATCGTCGATTCGGTATAATTCTCTGGCACGAATATTACAGGTTCGATCGATATTCCGGTTTAAACGAGCATAGCTTGCGTTTAATTATTTTAGGCGGTGTAAATTTTCCGCTCGCGCGAACCAGCGTTCTCCCGTTTCGCCGCGGATTTGCATAAACTGGCAGAGATTCTGCCGGGTGAAACTAAGAAATAAACAACTGGGCCAACTGGGCAAGCTATTGCCGCGGTTTAAACCCAGTTCCAGCTGGGTCCACGTCACGTCACAGTGGTTTGCCCGGCGCGGAGCTCGACTAGCCAGCGCCGGCCAGCGAAATTTCCCGTGCATTTGCCGGCATTAAATATTCACCGGGCCGAAAGTTCGACGGTTCGCGGACAAACGATCCGCGGGACAACGCGGCGTGGTTGTTGAAACTTACCGGTGACCACGAGCCTGGCGTACGAGCTACTTTCCACGGTGTCGCCGGTGACACGGTGCACGGTCCGACATCGATAACTGGACTGGGCGTCGGAGGTCGTCACCGAGAACACCAGCAGCTCTCCGGTAGGCAGCATATGATGTCTGTCATCTGAAAACAGAGATCCGACTCACTGATTCCCTCTGTCTGCTCTTCTCTCATCCCACGTTCGCGTTTTCATCCCTGGTCTAACGTTTCGTCGCTCCGCTCCCCTCTTATCGTGCTTTTCCTATTTTTCTATCGAAATTCCGAGCCAATCGTGTCCGGTAGCTTACAGCGCCACGCGGTTCCATTAATATGCAAATTCTTTTAATGGAAAATTCTCCCCGTTGTCCGCGTCGACGGTGCACGCGTCGTAAATCGAGGAATAATAAAAATGGGCCGGTGTAGAGTCACGGAGCAGCGGAGAGGAGCGGCGAAAATGATTTGGAAACTAGGCCCGACTCGTTTAACGGAGGCCAACGCCGCCATTAAGCGGCCGGACAAAATGAAAATTTCCCGTTGTCTCGGCGCGACACTGCGTTTGACCGAAATAACGGGCACCGCTAATGCCGGGCTGGCCCGCGGGGATGCGCACCGGCGGCCAGTTAATTCCATACAGTCGCGCGCGGATCGATGCTCGTAAAAAAATCTCGCGAGTCAGCTGTGCATCAATCGTGTAACCCGTGTCCTCCACGCGGCTATCTTCCGAGGGCCGAAAACGCAGCTCGACGCTTGCCAAATGTCGCGTTCGTTTCGCGCCACGCGTGTCCCGTTATTTTCCTCCTTCTTCCATTTTCTCCTCCTCTTTTTCATTCCAACTTCGCAGGTATATTTTCCGAAGACGAAGAATGTCCCAGTTTCGTAGGGAAATATCAACGAAGCGAAACGCTTGGCGAAATACGATCATATGTTTCCGCCGAATCGGTGCTAATTATTCCTTTTTACTGTCCCGTCCAGCTCACACGCCTCGAGCCTTATCGGATTAACGGATACAAGCCGCTTGGCCGAGCGTATAACGACGCGTATATGGGAAAATGATGTTGCGAGTTAACTTAATACGCCCGAACGCATCCATCGGAGGAACACAAGCGAATCGTCGAAATAATCCCGGGTCTGTGATCGATAACCGTGAAAACTCGGACCCGCGATGACGTCGACAACGGGCTATTCGGACCAGGCCGCATCGACCGGCGCTCAAAGGAGATCGTTAATCCCGGAAACCGAACGCCTGGATTCGATGGAAATGAGATCTCGATGGAAGAACGAACAACTACTCACGGTTTAATCATCGCACTGGATTTTCCGAAAGCATCTGTATCGAAATACCGTGTTCCTACCAGGCCGCTAATAGCGATTCGTCCGGATTGGTCGGCGAGCGCGACGAGGGGGGTTGAAACGCTGCTGAAAGAGGAACCGCGACACGGGCCGCGCCTTCTAATGTAAATTACGCGAAATCGCTGCACGAGTGACGCCACGCGGCACAAAGGGACGCTTTAGCCGCTATTTTTCCCGCTTTTTCTCCCGCCTCGCACGAAATATATTACGTAAATTCCCTTCTTCCGTAACCATTTCCAACGCGAAGCATCCGCGCGCGCGTGCTACGTGTGTGTGGTGCGTGACGCGGTAGAAAATGCATCGCGCGGAAATGTTTTTGCCCGCGCGTTCGCGCCTCGACGTATAAACGACTGCATTTGCTCCGATACAGTATTCATGCTCGTTGTCCCAACCCCTCGTCTCGTCCTCCTCCGCCACCCCGTCCGATCCCGGCGCCCAGTTTTCGCCTGCCAGTGTCAATATTTCGTCGTTCGTTGCATCACGCGTATTACCAACCCCCCGGCCTCTCTCCGCGTATAGCATTATTCTCGAGGAAATTACTCGGAATTCCAGCCGTTGAAACGCGCCCGTTTACGGTCGACTCTGGAACGGGGAATGCGCGTAGCTCTGGTTACCTTAAGGTCGGACGCGTACGTCACGATTGCGCCGAAAGGGTGCCTCCGTGAAGAGGGAAAGCGAGGCACCTATAAAAATGTCTGGACGGTCTGCGATTATGTAGCTCTGGTTACCTTAAGGTCGGACGCGTACGTCACGATTGCGCCGAAAAGGGTGCCTCCGTGAAGAGGGAAAGCGAGGCACCTATAAAAATGTCTGGACGGTCTGCGATTCCGCTACGACTCGTATTTGCATACGTCGCGCGCAGGCTTGCCAGGGAAATTTTATTATCCCGCAAATTAGCCGTCGAGGATGTTAAACGCCTCGTTCCGGTGAAAAATCGGGCCGCTGCGAATCGTTAGCCGGGCATCCTGGATAGCCGAAAGCCTTCGGACGTAAGAACTTCGATATATATTCGCGGATATATTGGTCGAGTGGAACTAGCAACGAAAGAGGAGCCTCGCGGCGCCGGGGCTGACTTATCGCGCGGCACCACTACTGACCGATATGCCGCTTCGAGATCGATAGGAGAAACGGAACCGTGAAAAATATCGAACGACGATTCGGTCGGCCACTTGTTAGTCCACGCGTTAATCGATTCGTTGCTCGCCGTAAACTCGTCGAAATAATTTATCGTCCCTCTCCCTCTCGCGCTGTGCGCGTACACAACGGCCACGTACCGGGGATGGGAAATCGATAAGCGAATATCGGAAGTATCGGATCGACGAACGAAACTGCTGGTACCTTTGGCGAAAGTTGCATTCCGCGATACCAACGAGCTCGCTCTTTAATCTCTCGCGGAAGCTTTAAGCGAAATATCAAAACCGCTCGAGCAACTTTTCACCCCGTTCGCGGAATCATCGGAATGAGCGACGAAAAGAGCGACTGGAGGTGAATGGTCAACGGTGGGAAGCGATCCACGGAATCGCGGCGGTGCATCCTTGCCGTCTGTCGACTGGAAAACTTCGTTTCAGTCGCGTGACTGGAATTTCGCGCTAATAAGAGTAATGGACTGCGGCAAAGGGTGCGCGGTATAAAACAGCCGGCAGAGAGGCGGCAGGCGACTACAGTCGGCGACGCGCCGCTTCGCGGGGAAATGACAGACCGTCTATTTGGCTGATGGCGCAGGATTTAACCAGCCGGTTCGACCACGCGAATATTTTTGCACGTACACGCGGAATAATATGCTCGGATAAGCCGGCCGCGAGCACGGAACGCTGGAATAGAACGTCGGCGTCTATGGTTCTCCCTGGTGAACTATGGAAACGAGCGCTCTTCGACCGAAAAAGGACGCCATAGATGCGGAGAGAGAGAGAGAGAGAGAGAGAGAGAGTGGGGACGCGTGCCGGGGGCGAAACCGATTTCGCGGATTTAATCTCGCCTGCGAGTCTTCGCGGATCCCGCGGTCCCGTACAGCGTATAACGCGCATGAATGGAGATGGCAGATTTCCGGCCGGGTCAAACGAAACATTTTTTAATACCCATTAACCAGTTGAAGTGCCATTTAGCCGGTGTAATAATTCTAAAAGCACCGGGTTTCAGAAGGGATAGCCTATCCAGTTCCTCTACCCCCTAACCCCATCCTGTATGGGGCTACACCGTGTTTTTTTTCCTCCTTCCCTCCCCCCCTTTTTCACCGTTCCTCTTTTTCTCTCCGGCCGGGACGCGAAATTGAGAATACAATGGCACGCGAACGAATGCACGAGCAGCGGCGAGCTTTTAGCCGCTCGAGCATTTAATCCTGGCGAAAATACCAGGTGAACGCGTATTGTTCCGATATGAGAGGAATACTGCCAGTCTGTGTATTCGTGTTAACGTACTACTGGGACATATCGAGACGCCGGCAAATTGTCAGTCGGTATGGTAAATATTTTTCCCCCCTTTCTTTTTTTCCCTTCCTTCTTCCTCTTTTTTTTTATTTTATCCCTCCACTCTTGTTCCTCGACGAATATCGCATTAAAGCATGCCGGCTATAAGCTAGATCAGCAGCGAGCGAGACAATGGCGGTCGACGTTGCCTCTGTGATCGCGTTATAATCGCTCCACGTAGCGCAATGGCGAACACCAGCATCCTGACTGACTGATTCGCGATTTCATCTGTCGGACAAACAAGGGAATTGGGAGCGTGTGTGACTTTCCGCCATCAACAACATTCGCGTTTATGTTCCTCGTTAATTAAACTACCCTGGCCCCTGGGGCCATTCGGAATTAGACTTTGATATTTCAGCGGAGATGGTCCACATCCCGCGAAATTTCGAATAATCGATCCCGGCTTGTGTTTCTTAGCGAAATTACAACGCGATCGCTCTCGGCGTGGTTATCGTACTTTTCGACCCCTTTCCCATCTCTCTCCATCTCTCTCCGTCTCTCGCTCGCCCCCTGACCCCCCCGCTCGACCGAGAATTCGCATTCGTCGGGCGTTTTCGCGGAAAAAATCAGGACCGAGGCACGTTTCGAGTTCGACTTATTTCAGCTGGGAATAAACGTTTTCCCGAGTGTCGTCCACGAAATACGGATTCCCGGTTTGAAGGAAAGTTTCGCGTTGCGTGCACCGGCGCTTTTTCGGAGTGCGCACCGCGATAAATCACCGGCGGATTTTCTTGTCGTTCGCTTATCGGGGTTATGAATCTCGCGCGCGCCGGATCGCGATGGAACGGACGTTTTAAATCGCGCCAACTTTCCTCGTATAAATCCCTCTCGCCTCTCTCTCTCTCTCGCGACAGCTTCCGTTCAACGAGCACGCTTCCAGCGGAATCTCGTGAACGTCCGCCATTGTTTCAGCGGTCCTACGCGATTGTTCCAGCCCGCTGTCGAAGGAACGACGGAAAAAGTTCATTTCGCCCGGCGATTTCAAGAATCGCGTGGCCCTCGACGCCCCGAACGCGACGCTTTCGAGAGTGCCGACGCGTTCACGGATTAAACGGGGACGTCGCTCGACGAGATACGACGCGTCATCCGGCGAAATAGTCGAAATCGGTCGACGATCCCTCGGCTTTGTGCCGCGTTCCCTGCCAAACCAGTTCGATCGTTCCCGATTCGTTAAAAGCCCGACCGAGATTTTTCAGATCCTTCGGGGTTAATTCTTATTCGACGAGCAGCGCGGGGAGAGGGCTGCGGCAAAGCCAAGGGGGTCGGCGGGGAACGGCGTTGAAAACTGTTGGGAAAGTTTCTCGTTCTCGTAAGAGCGATAAATCGATATCTCTTAGGCGACGTTCGTTTTTCACGCGGCTTTTTGCGAGCTCGTGTTATTCCCCGACGATCCTAGGAAACTTTACTTCCTCCCAGGAAGCTCGACTCGCTGGAAAAACTTTGGTTTTAAGCTGTTCGGGCTGCAAACTGTCATCGCCTATTTACCGGCCACGGTCCTTAGGAAGATGTACGGTGAAAAATTCGCGACGGAGTGGGAAAATAATGGCGAGGACGTAGAAAAACGGGGACAATAACGGCGCCAGGACTCTCGGATATAAACGATGTTCGACCGTTGCGTGTCTAATGGTCGCTGAAAGTCGCTGAAAGTCACCGAAAGTCGACGCGAGCGGGGATGGAAATCGATGGTATTCTCGGAAGGAGGATAGCAGAGACCGCGATTAAAAATTCATCGCGACGTATTAGGCCGAGGCATAGGTGTCAAGCCGGGATTTGCGCGGCGTTTCGGCGGACGGAAAAGCTTACAAACGAGTAACTTTTGGTTTGTCTAGCCCGGGCAAGTCTGTGAACCGGCGAGTGCTGTGAATGAAAACAGCCCGGAGCTGTTATCACTGGGATATCGTTCGGCCGTTGTCGTTCCAGGCTCGCACGCCGCGCGCAAACACCCAACGTCATGAACTGTTTTCCCTTCGATTTAGGCGCCGTGAAATCTGGATCGGATAACAACATTTTTCCCCGCGTTAAACCGTTCCGCGAATAAGGCGCGAATATACGATACCGGGAAAAATAGACGAAAGAGGTCTTTACGCCGTAACTCGGAGCAGAGCAACCCGAGTTCGCGACGTTCGGAAGGATCAAAGGGAGTAAACTTCTTCGATCTCTTCCGCGCGTCGCGACGTCTCCCACCCTTTCAGCTCCACGAGAATCGTTCTGTCTCGGTAATTACCCCGGTGTAACCGCTTTTTCCGAGGAATCCACTTAAATCGAGAGACGGTCATTCCTGCATTCCGCACGGGCGATCCCGGAACGGAGCAGACGTCTGTCGGATGTACGACGATGAGAGTAGGAAAATCGGGGGCCGGTGGCAGGGATGGAGGGAAAAATAAGAGTAAGAGGGAGGACTCGGGGTTCGGATCGACGGTGGAAATGCACGGTTAGACGAAAGGGCTGGTGCAGGATGCTGCAAAGCAGAAGATAGTTCGGGGCTCTCGGTGCACGAGGGCATGATCAGCCCGGGGCGAATTTGCATTGTGGCCGGACGCTTCGTGTTTGAGCTGCACTGCAACCCTCGCTGCATCTGCCCCGATGTTCACTGCACTTTAATCCTCGAAGAGAACCGTCGATACTCTCTAGCCTGTACAGCTCTGCCGATCGTTACGCTCCGCCGTGAAATTAACGAACGGCACGCGATCGATGGGAATCGAACCGGTCTTTGGAAAGTTCGGAACGACATTCGAAACGGGGGTGCATCTGGATCGATCGAACGTGGTAGGAGTGCAGAAACGAAAACCGTGAAGAGAGTGCCGGCAACTTCTGTTCTACTTCGCGTCACGGTTATCGAGTCGGAATCTTATCGCGATTTTCTGCTCGATATCGCGAGCGAATTATTAAGGTCGCGTAGCTGAAACGTTATTCCGCGAGTTCGATTCTACTTCGGTTCGAGTTCCGCTCCACTGGCGAAGCGCCGTAACGAAATTTTTCTTTAATTTTCGTTCCGCGGAAATTTCTACCTCGCGATCTTCCCGCTACGACGGCGATCCACCAGGTCCTCGGGGACCTGCACGGATAGCATCTGGTCCCGTAACGACGATAAAAGGGACCAACGAGGATAGGAAGAATCGATTAGACGAGCTCCGAGTCTGGAAACCGGATCGTTCGCTTTGTCGGGCCAAGCCGGTCTATTATAATCGAGCCGGCTAGAGGTCCTCGTCAAGTTCCTCCTTCTATAGGAAATTGCCGTCGGACAAGGAACTCGAACGAGTATCGGAGACACGAGCGAGACTCCCCTCGTCTGCGTGCGTCCGTATTTCGAACTAATCTTATCGCTGGGACCGATCTCTAACTACAAAACTCCCTCTGCGAGACCGTCTGCTACGTACGCTCCAACTTGCGCCGAAATTCGCCCCTGCGCTACTTAAAACTCCCGGCTATGCTCGCCTAACTTCCCGCGCATTCCGGAAATTCATTCGTACCTAAACCGTCACTCCTCCACGCTACTCCAAACACTTGCCAGTTACGGGATAAACGTTCCTCTCGTTGACCCCGGTTCCTTGGCCAATTATTCGCCATAATTAGCCAAATAAAGCGAGCCTAACTTCGGACGCGGGGGTCAGTGCCGGGAACCCTGACGTTCACGCGTCCCGGAGTTGGACGAACCGGACGACAAACGTTGGGATTAAACGAGGGAGCGCGAGGCAGCCTGAGAGGGCCAACAGGCGATGTCTCCGCGTTGGAAAATTCAATCTCGCACCGGCGGAGAAGGCTGAAAGGGGTGAGCGAGATATGACCGAGCGTCTGAATGGGGAACGAATCACTCGGAAAAGTTTTTAGTCGCGCGCAGATCAGTTCGTAGACGCGAATAAAGTTCCCGTTTATTCGGTATAATCCGCTCGAGAGGGAACGACGAGGACGCGGAAGCTAGCGCTGCTGCGATCGAGGTTTTAGCCGAACGTTCCGAAAACGGGGTCGAGGGTGACGACTGACGGAGTCGCGGCAAAAGGAACGGTCGACTGACGGAAGGAGACAAGGGAGAAAGCGAAAGAAAAAGAAAGAGAGAGAAAGAGAGAGAGAGAGGGCACGCGTTTCAGCGGCGTGCACACGCGTGTTTTTCCGCGAAAAATCGAAACGCAAGGCCACCCCTCGGCTCGCATGGAAGCGGCGCGTCGCGGCGCTGGAGCGTCGGGCAAACTTTGGGGCAAGATCGCTGGTTAAACTGGCAACTTGCTTGGACGGCACAATGCGACCATTATGACGGCGGAAGGAAAGAAGTTGGGAAAGTTTCGCCGAGCGGAAGGGAAAGGAGGTGAAAAGGAGGAAGCCTGGTCGCACGGAGAGGTGTCGAGAGACGCGATGAAATAAAAGTCGTAAAATTTAACGGGCATCGCATTCAATCAGCGTCCGTTTGTGATCAAACGAACAGCTTCTCCTTTCGTTCGACCAACTTCCTCGCCTCGTTTGCTACGCGTTATTCCGTAATCTTGCCGCTCGTCTAAGAGGTCCTAACTCTCGGGGAAATCGAACGAGGAATCGTCGAGAATTAAGTTAAAAGTAAAATAAGAGACAGAGAGAGAGAGAGAGAGAGAGAGAGAGAGAAATAGAAGGAGAGAGAGAGAAAGAGATGGCGGAAGAGGAGAAAAAAATGGCATCGTTCGCGTCGGTTTTTATCGCCGTTTCTAACAGTCCGCAGAGTTCTCATAAACCCTTCCACATGTGCTCAACGAGACCCCCCTTTTTTTTTTTCCACGTGTAATACCACAATTCACATGGGGCTTAGGGTATGCAGGAGGGGGCGGCCACGTTAATGCGTATACGCGAATACTCGAATGGTCCCCCTCAGACTCTAATTAACTCGGATATTGACCAGAGCAGCTTATATCAGCGTGTATGCACGCCGTAACGCGGGCTTTTTGCTTGGCGCGCATTCGGTCGCGGTACACAAACGAGGGGAAAAACCGGGGGAAAAAGTGGCTCCAATTTATCAGACTCCTGCGTTTTTATCGGCGCGCCATTTTTACATGCCTCTTCGGCGCGCGTAGCGTAAACGTCAAAAACTTCGCAATCACGTTCACCGAGACGTGACATCGGAACGCGATACGATAAGGGCCCTTTCCCCACTGCGTAACGAGAATGCGTGCCAGGTCGCGTTATTCGTTCGAGAAATATACAAGCTTTTGTCCGCCCCGAGTCACGCCCGCCCGATATCCACGCGTCCGCGAGTCACTCGTCCGTGGAGCGAGCCCGATGAACATCGAGAATCGCTCGCGTTACCGGCTGCAATTCGATCGATCGTAAGTCGAAACGATCACGGAGTGAAATTGACCGTCGCGCGAGCAGCGCGTGTTAACGCGAACCGCGCGACGAGTTTTCTAAGTCGGCTGCGAGCAAAAGGATCGACCGACATGCATCCCGCTCTAGCCTGGATCCAGGATGTTTGGAAACATCTCCCGGGAGAGGGCTGGCTGTTTCGGGATACTCGACACGTCCGACGTTTCAACCTCATCGATCGTTGCTTTATTTATTGCCATTTCACTCACCGCTTTTCAGCGTCGGGAAGATGTTATAGGCGGAGTCTCGAATCCAGGACGTGACTGCCACGTACTCCTTAACGAACGTCGGGATTTCGCACCTCAGCACGCCGGTATTCCCGGGCAGCACGTAGGTATCTCGCACCTGGACCTCGTACTTTTGTCGCACCACTGAAAAACCATTAATCCCTGTGTTAATATCTTCGGTAAGGTGAGATCGATCAACCCCCTCTCCTCGTGGAATAATTCAAAGTTCGCGATACGGAAGGAAGCAGTATAACGGCGATAAAAGACGGGAAAGTTAGAGGATGGGAGGATCTAACCAGGTTTCCGCGAATTTATGCGATTCGACCCGGTCGTCAGTCGTACTATCGCAATTATCGTCGGAATTGTTTCAATCCCAGCCGTTGCACGCAGACATCGATATTCGCAAAAGCGAATGAGCGAAAGCTCGACAGCTTGTAGCCAGATAATCCGCGCCGCAAGAGGCCGCTCCTCGTTGTTAACTCCAATAACAATATAACGTACTACGCATTTTCTATTACGGACTCGTTATTCTGCTCGCGAACAACGCAGCTTTTCAGCCAGTCTGCGACCCGTGCTTTCGGTAATTAGTGCCTCCAGCTCGCGCTCTCAACCCCCGCTCCGCTACGTATTGTACGACCCAACCCCTTCCCGTTTCTGCAGCCGCGCGATTCTTTCCGGAAACTCAGCCGATTCGCGAGTCGCTAAACGCGATAAGCGATTCTTCGCAGGACCGGCCGCGAGTCTCCTTCCTTCCGAAAGGAGCTTTTCGTTCCTTCGCCCAACCGCGTTGTCACGAAGCTCGCGTTTAACCTCGGTTCCACGTCTTCGAGGCACGCGACGCGTGCACGAATATCTTACGACGCGCACGGAAAACGCGGAAAAAGCGGAAGCTTGGCGTCGCGCGACAGCGGATCTCGATCTTGGCAGCGAGTGTCGCTTGTTAGTTACAAGCATCCGCGAGTTTCACGCCGCGCGTAGATCCGCGAGGAGGGAAACGGCGATAAACGTAGTTGGTGGAGTTTTCTCGAGCCGCGATCATTCTTCCGCTTCTGCCCGCGTACTCGATCCGTGCTTTTAGAACGACATCCCGCGGAACGGCCGATTACGTTTACGAGCGGTTGCAGATAGCGGACTGCCGTAGACACCGCGTTATCCGATAGTGGGAAGGCTCGCAACGGCACCCGGCGAGTGCTGCCACGGAAGAGTTACGCGGCGAAAAAAGAGAAAAATAGAGGGAAAAGGGGGGAAAAGGGGGGAAAAGGGAGGAAAGAAATACGGGAAAGCGGCGAGCAAGCGGGTAGAAAACGGCGAGAAAACGGCGGATTGGCGAGATCGGGGCGCTAAATATCCGCGTCGCGAGGCTGGTCATGAACGCGAGGTAAGCGGCGACCGGGTGCGGTGCCGCGTTCAATGGCGTAATTGCCAGCCACGATACGCCGGAAACGTTGCCGGCAATTTTTTGCCAGATTACTGCCAGCTTTTCCAGTCCGGAGTCCGAGGAGCGCTCTTTGTCCGGACGATTCTCCACGCTTGCCCGCAAGAAGCTCTCCACTCGCGGCGAGATATCGCGGAGAATGGCGGTCTCGTTATCGTCGAGCTCTGCTGGCTATTTCAAAGGTACGCGAAATGCCGGAGATGTACTACCAGGACGGTAAGAGGATAACGGGAAAAGGAAAATAATCGGCGCGATCGAACCGGCATCGAAGGATTTTGCCGAGGTCGCGCAGAGGAGGGTAAAAGTGCAGCTTCCGGGCGAAAGGGGAAAGCAATCGGTCGGAAGGAGAAGAAATAAAGGTACTCACCGGCCTTTACCGTGATTTCACGGCCCAACACCCTGCCGACGCTGTTCGAGGCTTGACATCTGTAGACGGCCGAGTGGACGTCGTGTCTGTAGGTCTCGGCCCCGAAGGGCAAAAAGTACATGGAACCGTTCACCAGCATCTCGCGGATGTGGGGTATGGGCAGCACCGGCGACTCGTCTCCCATAAGCCAATCAATCCTCGGCAGAGGACTGCCCTGGGCCGAACAGTGGATCATAGCTCCGGTCTCGTTCGAGAATTCCACCGAGGAGCGCGGCTCCGAGATCAACACTGGACCCTGACTGTCCAGCACCACTCCTCGTCCTGTCGCAGAAAACGTGTCATTCGATTAGAGAGGGATGAACGCTCCGAAGGTTCTGGGAAGACGTTAATGCGCGCCAGTCGAGATCCGATGGCGTTAAATTCCGCAAAGTTTCGCGGGATGGAATTTCGGGGAAATTGTCGGATAATCGTCGATTAAAGCCGCGAGCCGGAGCAACGGGTTGCTAATCGCCGAGCGAGATTCGGCGTAATAATATTGCGCGTGGAGGGTCCATTTGGAGGTGAAGCAAATGGAAAGAGGAGGAATAAAATGACCGAATCGATGCTTTTCGAAAACGTTAGCCGTAATCGCGTTTCTCGTTTTCGATTTATTCCCCTACGGAGAATCACTCGCTGCCGCGTAGTCGTACAACGCTTTGCTAGGTGCGCGGGTCTGTGTGCGTTATCTGCGCAATTATATGCAGCGAAAGCATTCTGCCCGCCATTACGTAAGAAGGGAGAAACGTTTTACGCGTCCGAGGGGAGCCACGAAATTTAAGAGCTCTCGAAAGCAAGTACAACTCGGTGTCTACTACGCTGAATATGCATGTTTGGTCGTGATTGACTTCCGAGATTAATCGTTTGCGGGGAAGTTGCAGTTAAACGTCGACGTTAGGCGGTAGAGCGAAGCTGGACCGATTTCGCGATTCGCGTATTTTTATGACAAATAGAGGCAGGCAGTCGATTTGTGAAATAGAAGCAAGGCGAGCGAGAGGTGATCAATCGTCGAATGCTCGGGGCTGATCCAGACAGCGATGCGTCTAAATAAAGTAAAGCGGAAGTATATCCGATGGAAACGGGGTTACGCTGTTCTTCTTTAAACGAATAATTCATCCGAAGGCGAATCGAATCGATAAGGATATTCGACCGGATAAAGAAACAATTGCTTCCACGATATTCCCCGGCGCGGGAGTAAGCTCGAACGATCGTTTTGCAACTTCTTCGATATTCCCTGCGCATACACGGTAAGCAGTTTATATTGTAAAATACACGCGTACGTACGTGCATACCAACACGTACACGTACACGTACACGTAACTCGCAAACGCCCGAGGACTCTCGTTTTGTTGCAACGCATCGACGAGGCACAGTGGCTGGGGGCGGAAACTTGCAAACGCCCGAGGACTCTCGTTTTGTTGCAACGCATCGACGAGGCACAGTGGCTGGGGGCGGATGACGTTGCGGTAAAAGGATCGATCATATTCGATCTTCGTCTTGTCGGTTATCACGGTGCGCTCGGGAAATCATTTGCATTCATCACCGCGAGACGCGGCGAGTCCATCGCTCACGCGTGATACGTCGTAGCGCGAAAAATGTCCCGGCGATTCGAATGATTTACGAAGGCATAATTCGCCCGGTGACCGCCATCGCGGCGCGATCGATCGGAGAGGAGGGGATCGACGCCCCAAACGGGATAACGAAACCGCGGGATTCGCGGTTGCCGAATAACGATAACCCATCTTTCCCTTTGGACGATAAAACGCGCACGTACGCGCATCCACGTTCCTCGAATGGCGCGCGAAACGTCGTCTTCCTCCGCGCCGCTTTCCGATTGCAACGTTTACCGCTGCTCTCCACCCTCTCGCGGCTCGTATTATTTCCTCCCGAGCGTTTCCTCTCAGCGGTCCCCTGACTCTTCGTCAACCGCCACCCCCTCGTTCCCATTTCTGCCGGGCAAATCTGATAGAGCATCACCCACGCGGCTCATGTCCCCCGAAATTCCAGGACAGTGTTTTTCGCCGATCGATTCACCGTCGAAACGCGTTCCGGTGGACGCGTGTACGAGACGCGTATACGAGGCGTGTACGCCAAGTCGGGCGAGGACACGAGGAAACCGGTGCATTACGAACGGACGTCGATTCGATAAGCGGAATTTCGATAAGCGAAACTCGTGCAACCGCCGAGGGTTCATAGTCACGGCCCTGCATCGGTGTACACCGCGTCTATGCAATCGGTGAATGCGCGAGTACGTGTCCGCGTAGGAGTGTACAGAGGCGTTTACGTGTGAATACGTGTGCCGTGTCTGTGCCGGAAAGACGTTTATGTTGTCCGCTTCCTGCGCGCTACGAGCGCACTGTGCACCTGCGCCACCGGTTTACAGCTATGCAGCGTCGCCATCTACCTTGCATTTATACGTGCGCCAGCTAGCTGCTACCCGTGAACGCGTACATTCATCCGCACACGTACGGCGGCACGTACACGTAGCGCGGAGTGCAGCCACGTATCGCGTGCATCGGTGCATCTGCCACCCTCGGGGGCGTTCTTGCTTTCCCGTGCAGCGAGCACTCGCGAGCGCGCTCGTCGAACGAAGACGATGGAAAATAAGGTTAAATTAGTACGCGTATAACGCAGTTTGTCGCTGACAGTGGAGACCGCCGTAAAACGGTTATTAAGGAGAACTATGCCCGCGTAAAGGAAAATTCTGCTCCTCGTTCTTCTTGTTTACGAGCAAATTCAATAGAGATTCCGGCTAACTCGATAACCGGTAGCTTTCTCTCATTCCGTCCTTCCTTTGCCGCCGGGCGAATCCTGGACGGATATAACGCGAAATAATGCCGCTTTGATACCTGAATTTGCGTTTCACACTTATAGCCGTGCCACGGTTAGACGTTTCCCCGTGTATTTTTCTTCTTTTCCCCGGTTTTTTCCATCTCTCTCTCTCTCTCTCTCTCTCGAATATAAACTCGGATGCTTGGTCCGTCGAGCTGCTGCAACGCTAATTAAAGGATCCGAATGACCGAAAAGCCTCTTCCTCTCGAGTGGAACGGGTGAAGGGGATCGTCGTGGACGAGGATTCCGTTGAAACGAAGACGTCCGACCGGACGATAATCCCGTCGATCGCGATTGTCGGCGCATTCGAGCGTGCTCGTTTATTGTCACAGCGTTTTAATCTTCTCGGCGCGACGGGGGCAAGAGGTATACGCGAACGTACGATCCAATTAGCGCACGGTATCGTGTAATTCTACAAAGAGTCGATTAATTCAGCAACGTCGCATTTCCATAAGTAAGCCAGCTAACACGTTCCATCTGTCTTCGATGGTGTATACGCGACACGGCGTCGATACGACCTAGCGCGACACACGGGAGCCACGACCGGAACGAACGAAAACGTAAATAAATACGTCGAAAATGTAAATACGCTGGCAGAGAGCGTAAATAAAACGGAGGCCATCGTCGGCTAAATCTGCGTACTTATTCCCATAAATTTCGTAATCGCGAGATTCGCGAAAATGCTCGCGCGTAAAATCCTTCATTTTTTTCAATCTCCGCTGCCTGCGATTTTTCCTCTTTTTTCACCGGCATCGCGCGTTTCGCCCCGGGATCCGTAACACGGTCACCGTGCAGCTCGCCCATATTTGTAGCCGTCACTTGAAATCCCCTTGTACAGCTTTCAGTGAAACGCGTTCAATCTCGTTACGAGCGATGTACCCTCGAGCACGCGCGTACACGTGTTACGCGCGGTTACACGCGACGGGCGTAGAAAAACGCGGCATTCGATGAGTCGCCTCATTAAGGGGGGTGGGCCCGGAGTCGAGCGCCAAGGCGAAACGAAAATCGAACGCGAACGCGGCGTCCGCGGATAATCGCGAGCGCGCGACGAGCGAGGAAACGACCGGCGATAAACCCAACGAGCGTAATTCCGCGTCATCGCGTTTTTATCGTCACGCGGGGACGCGTGCGACGCGTACGACGCTGGCTTCTCGTAAATGCTCCCAGCCTTCCTTCTTTTCCCCCCTCTTCCATCCCTCGTTTTTCCATTTTTTACGCCGTCCACGCGCGTCGAGGATACGCCGTTCGCTGTAACCGCGCGAGAAATACGCGCCCTCTCCGCCATTTCCTTCGTCCCCGTGCAACTCGCTCGACAAAGAGCGAATATTCGCGGAATAAATAACGCAACTCGTCCGTATTTCGGTGAACGCGTTTGACCAACTGGCCTTTATATTACACCGCGGCAACCCCGATTCCCGCGCATCGATGCTCGATAGAGGTTTCAACCCCCTTTCATCCCCTCCCGGACCGTGCCGCCCGAATTGTCACGCCGCATCCCGGGTTATCCTACCTAAACGCAGGTATCTCGCCGGATGGTCAATTGCGAAATTCAACGAACGAAATACGGCAATCGATCGACGTCTGAATCGCGACTGTTTCGCTTTCGCTCGGCGAGAGACGCGCGCTCGCGAGCCCTCGCGATAAGGCGATCCGGCGTACGAAATTTAACCCCGGGTCGGCGAGCATCTGCTGCCACGCGCATAACAGCGCATAATACGCGGCTTCGCGGGAACAGGATTGAACGCGGCTTAATTAATCACGGCGAAATTCGGCGCTAAAACTTGTTTGCAGTTGCCCCGCCTCGAGCGACGGGGTTAATTTCGCTTACGCGGGGAAACATCCGGTCGCGATTTAGACCGAACTTCCGCCCGTCGACCGCGGATCGTTCGCGTAATTCCTTCTTTGCCCGCTTCGAATTAGTTCGAGACAATATCCCGGCACAGGTAACGAGAGCTACCTGTTTTTTCCCCGCTCCGGATCAGTCGATAATTGCGCAACGAGTGGAACGGGAAAACTCTGACGCGTTTGCACGAGCCGCTTCCGGTGTTGCGTAATCGCCGGGTAACTACGTTGCCAGAGACAATTATACGGCGACAATGCGCTTGCCGCAATTACGAGCCGCTATCTCTCTTTCCGCCTCGCGACGCCACGCAACTATTTGCCTATGTATATTTACTCGGCATTTACTGCGCGTCTCGGAAAATTTCAAATATCCCGCAACCACCAGCGAATTCTCCGCTCGTTCTTCCACCCTGTTCCACGCCTCTCCGAGTGACCATTTCGCTATCGTCGTCGTTCGTGCGTCCGCGTCGTTTCGCATCGACTTACTCCCCTTAAGGAGTCCTGCTTCCGACGGCGTCGCGCCTGTTTCACGCTCGCGCTACTCGAAACGCGTCCGATGATTTTCGTCCACGGCGTGGAACCGCATTTTCGGGTCATCGCGAGTCGCGGTG